AGGAATGCCTCCAGTGTTTCCTCCTTAAGTCCCTGGCTTTTAAGCTGCAATATATCTATATATCAATTCCTATTTTACAGAACTTTAAAAAACAAGATTGGGTTTTGAATTTATCACATGCTTTTTGAGCTTCTAAGGAGAGAATTATGTGAATTTCCCCATTAGATCTAATATTACAACCAGTCACATTAACAGATTATCTAGTATTGACCATCCCTTCATTTCAAATAAATCCAACTGGACACACTAATGTCCCCAAAATATCCATGTCCTAATCCCCAGAACCTGTGAATATGTTGACTTACATGGCAAAAGAGACTCTGCAGGTATGACTAAATTAAGGACCCTGAGATGGGGAAATTATCCTAGATTATTACCCTGGTGGGCCCAGTGTAATCAAAGGGTTCCTATAAAAGAAAGAGGGAGGCAGGAGAGTCATAGAAGGAGATTTGAAGATGCTATGCTCTGGCTTCGAAGACATAGGAAGGGGCCATCAGCCAGGAAATGAAGGCAGGCACTAAAAGCTAGAAAAGGCAAGGAAATAGATTCTCCCCTACAGCTTCCAGAAGGAAGAGAGCCTTGTCAACACTTTGATTTTAGCACAGTATCCAATTTTGGATATACCTACTATAATATATTACCTATTATAACACCTGAATAATCATTGAGATACTTTGCTGGGACGTATGCTACTGGTTAGCCTTGACGATGAAGGAATAGATTGGAGGACCTGACAGAAAGCTTCAGTGAACAAGAGAGATTAGTAATCACCTTTGGATAGATGTGTAATACTAAAAATGAATCGTAAGTTAAACATCCTATTGCCTTACTGAAATGGGAGACAAAGAAGAGTAGCCACTGGTGGAATGGTCGACTGTGGCGAGATACCTGTATATTTAAGGGTAAAGATGATAGAAGAATTCAGTCACCTTTTCTGTTTGTGCATTTAACTGAGCTTGTTTGGATCAAATTCATTTCCACCCATCAGAAAGGAAAGTGATGATGGAAAACATATATTTGATCACTGTAGGAAAAGTGTGAGACAAGTATATGGAAGATGTGAGAGATTATAGGCAATGAGTCATATACAGTAACTATTGTGTAATTATGGTAAAGTGTATTTTGATAGGCATCAAAATATCTTTCCCAATGGCTTATCTTTGTATTATTTACCTTTATTCTTATTTTTCTTTCTTAAATTCAGTGGTTCCGTTATTCTAAAATTAATTATTTAAAAACTACTGTATCCTAGCTCTTGTTTCTTAATAGTAAATAAAGTAGAATTAGATCTACCCATCATGAGTTTTAGGGCTATAGAAATACCTGGAAATAAATTATGAGAAATTAAAGAATATGTAATTGAAAACAGTGAAAGTAGATCAAAACACAAGATATTAGAATAGAGAATAATGAACATGGAATTTGGTAGGTTCTGATCATACAGTCTCTCTGAAGAAACGACTTTTAATCTGGGGCCTGAAGAATGAGGAGTCAGGCCTATAAAGAGCTGTGTCAGGGGAATTCATGGGGATGAAACAACATAATGCGAAGTTCCAAAAGACGGGAAATAATTTGTCAGATTTAGTGCCTTCAAGGAATTTTTAAGGTAGGTTAAAAGGGCAGTGGTTGAGATGAGTTCTTATGAGAAGGGCCTTGTTATCCATCTTTAACTGGTCATATAATGTTCTAAGTGCAGTGAGAAACCACTGGAAAAAAATCTGTAAGTAGAGAATGTCAGGGAGTTCCCTGGTGGCCTAGTGGTTAGGATTCTGGGCCTTCACTGCCGTGGCCTGTGTTCAATCCCTGGTCAGGGGAACTGAGACTCCATAAGTCACACAGCATGGCCAAGAAAACCAAAACAAACAAACAAAAAACAGATAATGTCAAACATTGATCTGCCTCTGATACATCTGATGGAGTGGTTAAAAGTATAGATACCTAAGACCTACACTTATAGATTCTGATTCACTTGGTCTGGGTTGAAATTAATTAATTAATACTTGCAAAAGGCTCCTGAGGTGATTCTAATGGAACACTTACATTTTAGAATCAATGATTTAATCTATTTTCATTGTTACAGATCTCACAACATATGCTTTCATTATTCTCTAAACTCTGTTTGCCTTCTTCAAACTGCATAATAACTTTATCGAAATTCATTGCTAATGTATTTTCAGTTTATCACTTATCTCTACTGTACCCCTGTGCCCCCCTCCTGTACCCCAGTACAGGAAAACAACATTTGTTAGTTTTCTTGCTTTACTTTTCCACGTTTGGAGACCAGGTATGATACAAAGACTTTATCTCCAGAAGAAAACATTTTTGAAATAAATTTATCTAAATGTAAGATAAAGAAGTGAAATGCTTGACCTTGAGGGTTCCATTATCCAAAGTAGCTGGCAGAACAAAGTCAAGATTAAGAAACAAAAGGAACCTCAAAAAGAATATTTTAGCCAAATGAAAATCATCCATGAAAATATATCTATTCACAGAAAAGATACATCTCTTACCCTACATCACAGAATTCCTTGTAAACATTTATGAATGTAAAGAATGTGGGAAGACCTTTAATTATGGCTCAGATCTAATCAAACATGAGAGAATTCATACTGCTGAGAAGCCTTATGAATGTAAGGGATGTGCGAAGGCCTTTAGAATTCGTGAACAACCAACTTAACATTTGAAAATTCATAATGGAGTGAAACCCTGTAAAGGTCTCGTATGTGGGAAGGCTTTTAGTTTTTTGGCAGAGACCTTGGAGTACACCAAAATATTCACTCAGGGGAGAAACCCTATGCATGTAAGGAATGTGGGAAGGCATTTAGAATATGTCAACAACTCTAAAAATTCATAGTGGCGTGAAACCCTATACATGTAAAGAATGTGGGAAAGCTGTTGTTTTGTCAAAAACCTTAAAGTACACCAGAATATCCATTCTGGGGAGAAACCCTATGACTGTCAGGCCTGTGGGAAGACTTTCAGTTCTTCCAGATACTTTAGAGTACACCAGGAAATTCATACTGATGAAAAACCCTATGAATGTAAGGAATGCGAAAAATCCTTTAGATTACGTGCACAACTTGGTCAACATAAAAAAATTCATACAGATGAGAAATCTTATGAATATAAGGAATGTGGGAAAACCTTTAGACTTCATTCACACCTTAAAGGTCATCAGAGTATTCATACTAATGAGAAACCTATGAATGTTAAGAATGTAGGAAGGCCTTTAGGCAGAGGACACATCTGATTCAACATTAAAGAATTCATATTGGGGCTTCCCTGGTGGCGCAGTGCTTGAGAGTCCGCCTGCCAATGCGGGGGACGCGGGTTCGTGCCCCGTTTCGGGAGGATCCCACATGCCGCGGAGCGGCTGGGCCCGTGGGCCGTGGCCGCTGGGCCTGCGCGTCCGGAGCCTGTGCTCCGCAAATGGGAGAGGCCACAACAGTGAGAGGCCCGCATAACGCAAGGAAAAAAAAAAAAAAAAAAAAAAAATTCATATTGGTGAGAAACCCTATGAATGCAGGGAATGTGGGAAGGCCTATAGATGGAGTTCAACACTTAATCAACATAAAAAAATGCACACTAAGGAGAAACTGTGTGAATTTAAGATTTATGGAAGGGCCTTTGAAATTCATTTAATCCTTACAGATCGTTAGATAATTCATAATGGTGAGAAACCAAACCTATGAATGTGCACGATGATGTGGGAAGGCCTTTAGATAGAATGAACATCAGTGAATGTACAATAAGTAGAAACCCTGAATGTGAGGAATGTGGGAAAGCTTTCAGATTTTGTTCATGCTTTACTGACCACCAGAGAATTAATAATGGCAAAAGACTCTAAAAATGTTAAGAAATGTATGAAGGCCCAATATTCATGTCTCTATGAACACCTGAGAATTCATAACCTTATAGTGTTAATTCAAAGGTACTTTTTCTTTGACTCAACTCTTTATAGAATATTAACACTAGGGGAAACGTTTAGGAAACCTTTTTTTTTTTTTTTTTTGGTCATTCTTACAACTTATTTAGCGTAAAAGATTTCTTGCCAGGTATCTTAATCTAATGAATATATAAAATACTTCCAAACCTGAGGCAGGAGATAGATGGGCCCCAGGCTGAGCAGCTGGAGTCTGTACCCTGTGGAGTAAATACTCCAAGATAGAGATAATGGCAGAAGTGAAGAGAAGCTGAGTCCTGCCCAAATAAAAGATAAAGAGACTACATATTTCCATTCTGAGGTCAAGAAGACCTTCCTGACTACATGTGCACATTTGGCCTCTGTGGAGGCCAAAAGGGGGGGGGCGCCACCCCATAGTAGGTGATGTCAACCTATCCATAGACCTCTGGGCTGGAATCCATCTTGGCTAAGAGTTGCACGTGCATCTCAGGGAAGGACCCTGAATTATACCAAATACGGACTCAGAACCTGGCAAAGCAAGATGATTGGCCAGAGAAAACCCAAAAGAGATGTCCCATTTAAGTGATTTAAATTACCATGAAGGCGCAGCTCTCTTTCTGAGGCCTCCTGTGTGTCTATTCACACGTACTTTTTTCCCCCCGAATAAATACTTTACTTGTTTCACTACTTTCCGTCTCTTTGTTGAAATTCATTTCTACAAAGCAGACAAGCCAGGGCCTTGTCACTGGCCACTGTTCCTCATGGTCTAGTGGCTAGGATTCAGCGCTCTCACTGCCATGGCCTGACTTCAATCTCTGGCTGGGGAACTGAGATCCTGCTTCAAGCTGCTGCAGGCTGAGGCCACCTGAGATCAAAACCACTCAATTCCTGTTGGATACCAACAAAGTTATACTAGAGGAGAATCTCTTAATCAGTTGTGGAACTGAAAGAAAGCCTTTCGTCACATCACATACCTAGCCTATCATCTTCAAGATATTCAGCAATATACCAATATATTAGTTCTGTGCCTCAGTTGTAAAATGGTGAAGACAATACCTGTGTTTTTGTGAGGATTAATACGTGTAAACCCTTATAAGACTATTTGACAAATAAATATTAGCTACTGTTGTTCTGATGATAATTAATAGCATTATCATTAGCAAATTCTTAGAGAAAGACACTATGTTGGTAATGAACTTAGAAGAGCCTCCAATCACCCCCATTCTCCTATTCAACTTCAGATGACTGATTTTGAATAAAGTCCAGTAAAATACAGAGAACATGTGAGACAATTTCATTCCT